GCACGCACGCACGCACGCACGCACGCACGCACGCACGCACGCACGCACGCACGCACGCACGTCTCGACTCTTGTTTACGTTTTTTTGGGTCATATGTGATTGACATCCAGCTCCATTCAACTTCTTGACAGGCCAACATTTAAGCACCAATTTCACATGTTTGGCATTGGTCATCCACCTGGCAGGCCATCGCTATTAGGTTGGAGGCCATTACTACCATTTTCTATTTTTTGTGTTTCCTGGAATCCTTGGATCTGAGGGTTCAGTTCTGCTTCTTCAGCATCCTGACGAACACTGGGACGACTGTGCAGCTGACCTTACAAGGCTTCTTTGGGACCTTCTTGGCAACCTTGAACGTTTGGGTCCTTTACCAGTGCCTTGGATGCCTTGGACTTCAGCCGAAATCGAGATTTGTCTCAAACACCAGGTTTAGCGGAGTTGAATCTTGAACCTGGCCACGCGCAAACAGATCACGTAAGCGGTTTGTCATTCGCCACATTGTCAATTGTGAAACATCGGGGATCGTGTTCTTCACGTTGACCGGAAAGTGCAAGGAATCAACCAAACACTTAATGAGTGGACAAAACTCTTGAGAACATGTTTGTCAAGGCATGTTTTGACAATTTTAGACTGACAGTCATGTTCCGTTCTCAAGAACTCAGGATCTTTCCCCTTGGCAGTCAGATGGAATGCCCCGGAGGAGCTGAGACATGCGATCCTATTGAGATGGTTCCATGGAAGCCACAGACACTGTTTTTTCCTTGAAGATTCTAATAGGTAGTCACCCCCAGTCACCACCCTGACTCACAATGGCCGCGTGAACAATGATTGAACATTTGAATTTCGTTCAATTCATTGCCTCCACATCTTACACCTGCAAACTACAAGATTTTCAAACCGTTCGAGTGCTTCAAGCTCATGCTGCAGTGCCCGCTTTGCTGCATGGAGCATGCTTTCATGAGTTTGCGCTGTTAAAGGTAGGGCGGGAACCTTTGGGCAAGGTGAGCAGAACCTTTTCACCTACAATTTGCCCAGACGGGTTCAGCCCAGCCAAATCCTTTCGCTTTGCTTGAGACCAACATTTTTTGATTCATAGTGACCCAGGGATTTACTACAGCAGCTTCGAAGAAGCATAGTCATGGCTCGCACTGATGAAAGACATGTTTTGTTTGCAGATTATTGTAGTTCACCATGCTGCTGGAGAACCTTGGCCTGTTGTTGGCTAGCAGCTCACCATTTTGTCTGGAACTTGTTTTGTGCTCCTCCAAAGTGCAGTGGACTGATGACTACCACGAACCTGTGCTGTGGCAAAGGTGAGCATACACATGAGCATACCCACATGCGGTTTGCAGAAAATCAAGGGTTTTCAGTCAAGCTTTTGCTGGATATTTGATCAAGGTCTACAAGGACCCGAACTACATCCCAGCAGTTGTTTGGGCTGAAGCTATCCTCTTTGCGCTGTTTTGGTTGGTGAGCAAAGCGCCAAAGAAGCTTACTCTATTCTTCAGCAATCATTGTGTTTTAAGCTTTGGCTGGGAAAGTTATCGGCAAGCCTTTGCCTGACAAGGAATATGGTGATGTTCCTGGCCTCCTATCATGTATATTTCATCTCCAAGTTTCTCAATCCAGCAGTTTCAGGGCTGAGCCTTGGCAATTTCATGTAGCTGGATTGAATGTCCAGCTTGGCTGCAGTTGAGAACCGTTTTTCTCAAAGACCCTCTATCTCTCTCTCTCACTTTTTCTTCCGAACCTTCCAAAGCTCAAAACGTATTCCACAGGTGCAACTGCAACTCGAACTGTTCACTGTATGGTCTCAGAAGCTTGATTGTGATTGTCAGTGCCACTTGCGGCCGAGGACTGGCTCGCTTCCCATGGGATTTTTGGGCTTGTACTGGGATTCTGAGACGCTTGTCCTTGAGTTAGTAGCTAGTAGTTAGCAATTAAGTAGTAGGTAGTAACATGTAGTAGGTAGTATGTAGTAGGAGTAGTAGAAGTAGAAGTAGTAGTAGTAGAAGAAGAAGAAGGAGGTGCACTAGCAGTATAACTAGCAGTAGCAGCAGCGGCAACAGCAGCAGTAGCAGAGTAGCAGTAGGAGTAGGAGGTAGTAGTAGAAGTAGGAGGTAGTAGTAGTGGTGGTGGTGGTCGTCGTAGTCGTAGTCGTATAGTCGTGGTGGTGGTGGTGGTGGTGGTGGTGGTGGTGGTGGTGGTGGTGGTGTTGGTGTTGTTGTTGTTGTTGTTGTTGTTGTTGTTGTTGTTGTTGTTGGTGATGGTTGTGGTGGCCAAGAACATTTTTTGTTCCTTCTTTTTGACAATATTTTCGTGCAGGTCTTCGTCCAATCTTGCATTTTTGATCCTTTCTGTACATTTTTGTTCAGTCACTTCAATACTGGTGTAAGGCCAACTATCATCAATATGACATCGCTTCTTGGAGGAGTCCTCGCAATCGTTGGTACTTTGATTCCAAAGCCTCTCTTGAATACCAAGCGGCCTGGTTGCATTGTAATGTCAAGTGCCCGTTGCAGCGGCCCAGTGTAGTCGGGCAAATCAATCTCCTACAATGTACATATGTGGAGACGGGCAGGTATCTCCGTAACACGGGGAGACTGAAGCTTGTAGCCTTGCCATCAGGTCGTGCCTTGAGCCGGGACCCTTTTGTCCTTTTCCGCCGCCCTTTGGAAGGGGCCCCTTCACTTGTGTATGACCTCAAGGCTGAGCTCCTTGGAAAAGCCCGCGGTCCAAACGTGGACCTCTTTCGTTCGTGGTGGAAGGGAACCCAATACGCTACCCAGCGTGCTCCAACTACATTGGTAGCGGAGCATAAGCTCCTAACCCTTTTGCATTTGAGTTGAAGGTCATCGCTCTTGACCTCTTGGGCGGTGTCTTCAAGCAGCGGTGCTCATTGACTTCACTGGTGGCCCATCGACATCTTCGCTCTGGACCTCCAGCGCCTTGGCACTGCTGAGCTCTTTTTCCTGGCCTTTGAAGAAGGCGACCCTTTTGACTTTGACCTGGCAAGCGCTTTAGACCTTGCCTGGACTTTTTCCTTGATTTTTTGTTTTCGGCACCTTCCTCGTAACATGGCGGAACAAAGAGATGGACTCGTTCCCACGTGGGACGGACAGGCTGGTGGATGGAGGCGCTATATACCAAGGAGGTGGCATGGCAACGCCAGAGGAAATATTTTGCCTCTTGATCAGTCGGTGTCGAAGGACCAGCACGCCTCTTGGCTATGTCATGGAACCGGGATGGCTTCTCGTCGAACCCTAAGGCGATCCTGCAGTAGTACCTAAGATTTCGGCGACGCCCCAACGAAAGCATGGCCAACTTCCTCGTCAGAGAGACACTTGGCTATGAGGAATTCTCTGAGGCCTTGACCAGGATATGGGAGGAAAAGATGAAACCGGCTCTCAGGCTGCTGATGCTTCTCCTGCTGAACCGCCTGGTGACGAAGCCCGAGGCATGGGCTGCAGCAGGTGGTCCATCGGCCTCATTCCCGGCCAAACGAGCAAGCGCCGGCTCCTCACCAAGTCGCGGTGGCATGAGCATGACAGCTCCCTCACTTCGGGCAGTGTCTGCGCAAGTTCCTGCATGCCTGTGGAAGCGCTTGATGCCTCACTCTTTGTGGTGGACAAGTTGTTCATGTCCTCATGGAGCCCTCGGCCACCGAGGTCATAGTGCATGGTGTAGGCATTCACTGCGGTCGGGAAGGTGGTGCCACCTTGCATGCTACGTTTTCCCCCTTTGACTTGTAAGTCCAAAAACTGTTATGGCCTCAAGGACACCCATGATGAAGCAGTCCGTCGGCGAGGGCTCGTTCATGGCCACTGAATTGACTGTGGAGCAACAGCTTCTGCAGCAGAGGGCTCGTCGATCCTTTCTCGCGACAAGAATGCCCGCGTTGATGTGCGTTTTCAGGTCTGGGAATGGAAGGTGGGGGGTGCACTTTTTCGTGCCACTATTGGCGCGTGTGCTCAAGTGCCCGGCGCGCCGCCGCCTAACTTGGGGTCTGTCGTCCATGGGAGGCAGTGGGTGTTGACTCTTCAAAGGTTGGCGCCCAACCAAAAGGCAAAGCTGAAATTCATCTTGTTCGTGGATTTGGCAACTCGACTTCGTCTGAAGGCTCATGATGCACGGCGAAAGCTCTGACTCTGCTGACTTCATTCACGGCCTCACCGAACGCTGGTTGAGCGACAAAGCAGCCTTCGAAAGTCGAGAAGTAGATGACTTCTGCAACCAAGTTGGCATTCAGCTAACCTTTCCAGCTGAAAAAGCGTCATGGGCCCATGGCGTGAAGGACATGAAGATGACAGCCTCGGCCATACAGATTGACCAACCGTCGGTGACTTTCATGCTTGCGCCTGCAGCTTTGAACTCCACCAACTGCACCAAACACTACAGCTCTTGTACCAATGGTGCTGTCCTCTACAAGATGGCGACAGCGTGTCTTATATTAAGCCCTGGTCAGGGCTCGACAAGATGCTGAAGCCATTGCCCGCAAGACATGAAGAGCTCACCCAACACAATTGGTGAAGGTATGGCGACGGGAATGACCCGCTCGTCCTTATTAAGGGAAACGTGGACGTGGACTGGGCTTGGCCGTGTGATCTTTCATGAAGTACTCCCTCGGCAGGTTCATGGATGAATGCCGTCACATTGTCTAGAGTCTAGGTGTTGCTTGGGGCCCAGCTGATGAGATGCAGTCCCGTACGCCCGGTGACCACCACCGAGCAAATGGCCTATGAGATCGCCAACAAGGATGATCCAACTTAATGGTGATCGATCGCTGATCTTCTTCCCCGGCAAGACTTCACCGACCTCACCGACCAAGTGCCTGGAGAACATGAACAAGAAGAGCCTGATCTACCAGATCAACCTGATCCTGACCAAGCTCTCGTTCCACTTCGCAGAGCTGGCTTTGAACAACAAGTACCTCCTTCTGGCATGTAGGCTGCAGTTCGCCGCCGACTTCAGGAAATGGCTGATGACCCAGATCTTCAGTATAAACCTTCTTGAACCTGCGCCTCCAGATCCTTCAGCGGAGTTGTAAACGACGTGGCGCTGGCAGTGCGCCTTCTTCCGGACCTCCGGCTCCAACGGAGGAACGATGATCGGCCATCACTCGCCGACCTCTCTCCCTGAGCTCAAGGAACAAGGTGAAGTGAACCATGGTGATGCCAAATGGATCAACAACATGGTCATCGAAGAGAACAAGAGTTGGGCTTGCTTTGAAGCCATCATGGGTGACTACCCCGATGTGACGACAATGGAGTTTGAAATTGAACTTCACCTCCCACCGGCAGCGAAAGCAATTTCTTCGAAAAAACTCGATTGCCTTCTGGTCAAGAAGATGCGTGACTCTGAGTCTGAGGTGATCTTCAGCAAGCTCTCTCCTGAACACCGAGCCCTATTCACAGGGGCAAAGACCAAAGAGGTGAACAGCTTTCTTCAGAACCAAGCTGTTCGCAAGAGCTTGAATGATGCTGAACTACAGTGGCCTTCAGTTCAGGCCGAATCCTGACGGTTGCTCGCCAAGATGGACTCAACCAAAGAGGGGGACAAGAAAGCCATGGCGCGCATCGTGCTCCTGGGCTATGAGCATCTTGAATTGGGATCATTGTCATACAAAAGCTACTCTCCCGCGCAGTCTGTCATCGCCCGGAACCTCCTGTGCCAGAACACCTGCGCCAGCATGGATCGAAACTCAAAGGCTTGGATCTGGCAACGGGCTTCCTACAAACCCAAAAAAAATTGTGGACGAGCGGAGTTGTTGAACTTCGAGAAGCTCTTCAAGTAGGGCCCGAATGCATCGTGAAGATCCTGAAGGACATTATATACGGCAGTACCACTGCCTGTCGGGGCCAATAGCTTGATCTGCATCGCGCTCTCTGTTGAGTTGGTGGCCGTCCGGCCATGGGAGAAAGGTGTCTATGGTTGTGGGCAAGTTCCACAGAAAAGGATGAAACTGGTCACGTGATGGGTGGCCACGTGGACGACTTCCATCGCATCGTCGGATGGTGCAGAGCGGCCCGAGATTTGTGCCAAGATCAACAAGGCCTACCAGTGGGGAACGGCCAACCTTGTCCAAGCAGAAAAGCAGCCTGCAGAGCGAGTCTTGGAGCGCTTCAATGTCGCGGCTAGCTGTCCAGACGCAGCCACTCCTGTGCGGCAGGTGTAACGCCCTCCTGTCCGAGTTGGTGACGAATGGCGCAATGGCGCACGCCATGGAGATCCAAAAGATGGTCGGAGAAGGTCGTCAATCTCCAAAAGTGAACTCAAGTTCTTCAAGCTCAAGAAGGCCAAGGCATGTCGTAATGTCTTGCATCATCACCTTTGCAGACCAGGCACGCGTGAACAGGCCTGGTGGCGACCCCACTGGCAGCGTCATCGCGATGGTTCTCCTGTCTTGGAGAGGGTGGGGGCTGGAGCGCAAGGCGATTGGCTTCCAGGTGGTGCTGGAAGGCGAAGACGTCAACTTTCGCGTCAAGCTCCTTTGGGGTGAACTTCATGGAGCTGCAAGTGTCATGGGCAGAGCAGCAAGCTCGTGACATACCTGGAATTTTGTGCACTGTTTCCAGAGGCGGTGATGTTGCCGTACAGGTCAATAAAAGCCCACTTCTTGGCTTCACCAACCTTCGGTCCACCTTGCAGGTGACGCAGCCCCGTGAGAGCGTGATGAGGGTCGGCGCCCCATTGAGATGGCTGGCAAGCGACTACGACTTGGCCGACAGCATGACGAAGAAACGACCTGACTGCCGAACGGGTCTAGCCAAGTACTTGGCCAAGCGCTTGTAGCCATGTATGATGAAGCCGCGCGACTTTTAGGCTGGTGCAGCTTGTGTAGCCTTGCGTCAGGTCGTGCCTTGAGCCTGGGCCCAAAGGAAGGGGCCCCTTGATATGTGTATGACCTCAGCCTTGACCTATGGCTGGCCGCTGAGCGCCAAGCTCCTCGGAAAAGCCCGTCGTGGTGGAAGGGAACCCAATACGCTACCCAGCGTGCTCCAGCTACAGAGCAAAGAACCCGTCCAGGATCGTGGTCCCCCAAGATTTGCACACCCTGCAGCCCTAGAGACCAACGAGTTGCCCTTTCTATATACAAAATATATATATATATATATTGTTTTTAAAAAAGATTTGTTCTAAAAAAATGTGATCGACGTCCAGCTGACTGCCATAAGGGCGTTGCAAGAGAATGCCCTTACTGCAGTGGAAGGGATGACAGATGCTTGGGAGAAGGCGATTGACTACTTTATCGGTGATACACAGCAAGCAGTTAGGCAGGAGACCAAAGGGTGAGAGGAACTACAGGATCGGCGGGGTCAGCAGGGTGCGCACTGATTGGTTCCTGCTCAGTTCTGACGGATTCGGCTTGGCTTTGGACCTTGGCCATGTGCTAGATGATTCAATCATTATCAAACCACCAGGAAGGAATGTATGCATGCTGTGCTGCAGCTTTGTGAATATGATGAAGCTTGAGCTTGCATGATGAGTCAACCAAAATTGTTCATATCAAACGAATGAAAAGTCTACAAACATTTCCTGTGGAAGGTTCTCTTCCTTGCAGCTATTGGCTAGTTGTGGGTTCGGGATGAACTCCTTTGCAGCAAGAATGTAGTCACGCGCAGCAATGTAGTGCAAGCCCATTGCTGCACCCTGTGGAGGTTTTCAGTCGCCTCGAAAATGGACGCTGTCAAGGGCTCCTTTGATCGTACTGAGGAGGGAACTTTGCATGTTTATGCTAACCCTTTGAAGCACAACTCCAGGAATTTTTGTTTCTCAAAATAGTCAATACGTTGAATATATACTTAGAATACGTTGAATGCATCTGGCAGTCACTCTTGTATTGGAAGGCACCGGACCTTGCCGCAATTGGTGCCAATCATGAGAGAAACTCCCCAAAGGTGGTGCGGCTTAAGCCTTTGCTCTGAGGTTTCTGGACAAATACAGTGCCAAATAGTCTCTGACGGTTGTGTTCGGTCTTTTGCATTCTTTCTGAGAGGACAGTATCAATGGCGCTTGGTTTGAGCACTTTGATATCGGCCACTTCGGAGTTGCTCGGGAGCTTTTCAGGCTCTTTGTCGAGGCGACCAAGGGATACCGGTTTTTGCTCGCAATTTTACGCTACGCTGCTACTGGTACAAAGTTGTGCTAGTTTCATGAGCTTGATTCCTCCCCTCCGAGTCAGCCAGATAGTCTCTTCTTTTTCAGGCGGGACATGGCATGAACAAGCTGCTGGCAATCGCCAAGACGGCGCTGGCTGCTCGCTCGGCAAAGACAAGAATGGAGGATGTTTGTCACCTCACTCACCAGTTCAAGGAACTATATAGTTCTTTCTTGAGACTTTGTGAATGCAATGCCAAACATGCCAAACATGTTTTGCCTTAGGCGGAGAATGCAAACCTTTGAGGTTCCTTAAACAATTATAGTCATGAGCGTGCAACTTTTTAAACTAAAGCTCAGTTCAGCTTTGGCATGTTGCCTGTAAACAGCATCATTTCAGACGTATTGATTGGCAACGCCCGGGTCATGCTTGACAGGTTGGATATCATGTGTGTGTGTTGATTGGCATTGGTTAGCCCAGAATGACTCTTCTTGTTGTCATTTTACGGTCGAGACAGAGCTCAAAGTGTCCAAATCTCAGCCTACCGAAAGTGAACCAGATATCTGACTTACAACTTTGGACAGCAGACATTGTGTTGCTCTTCTCGTCGTTACTCCGATACATACTTGTTTCAACGTTGCGCAGCTAAGCAGCTAATTGTTTGGACTTTGCCCATACATGTGTGCAAAATATTTGGATGCTGTTCATGTTCAAGATTACCTCCATGTTTCACACCAGGCTAAATGATGCTCACATGTCCATTCAATTCTACTCGCAACAAGTCCCACACATCACCACTTGGAATTTGCACCAGGAACACCCTCCAATGCACTGCGTAGCAGGTGATGCGAAATAACTTGGATCTTGGGCTCCTTTAATATACAATTATTAATGTTTTTTGGTTGTTTTGTTACTTTATGTTACACTAGGACGTTTTTTTAAACACTAGTAAAAACAACTATTATAGAACATCCACAGAAATTTGCAGAAATTTGGATAGTAAGTTAGAACATCTTAGAACATCACAGCCGATTGCGTCCCGAATGTTCCAAGTGGATGGCTGTGATGTTCTAAGTACATGCTTTTTGCAGGGACCGAGCCAATTCCTACATCTCTATGGTTGAATGCCCCCATAACTAAACACGAATCAGGTGTGTCTCCCACGTAGCTTTGGGCTCGAACGGGTGATGCACACCTGTCCTGGCTGCAAGAAGTGGAAACTTCTGAGCGGCCAGTGCATGGTGTGTGCGTCGATCGCTCGCTTGAAGGCGGGCGTGAGTTCGGATCGCCTCCCGACTACTTTAGAAGCGGAGGCAAAAGTCACCAAGATCCTTGACTCGGCATACTATTCTGTGGCCAGACTATTTCCTGAAGAAGAAGAAGGATCCGATAAGGGAGGATCTCCTCCCAAGGAGGCCACAGGAGGAGAGGAGGAAAAGGAGAAGGGTCTCCCAAGCCAGAGTCCAAGGAGAAGAGGAGAAAGAAGTCTAGAAGCCCGAAGCCAGAGGCCCGAGTGAAGGAGGAAAAGAAGGAAGTTTTGATAAACCTGACAAGGACGAGAAGAAGGCGGCGAAGCTCAAAGAAGTTCAGCAGAGTGAGGAGAAGAAGGCATTGCCCAGGAGAAAAGAAGAGGAGAGACCAGCAAGGGAGAGGTCCAGGACTCCCAAACATCAGAAAGAGAAAGAGAAGAGAAAGGCCAAGAAGAGAGATAGCAATTCGAGATCAGTTATAGTGGTTCAGTTGTGAGGAGAAAGAAGAGGGAGGATCACATCTCCCATAGGTCAGAGAAAGCAGAGGAGGAGCAGAAGGCGAGACCCAGCAGTGGCATCCAGAGGGAGGACTACTTGGGAGCAACTGAGTCCGCTGTTCAGCGTGTATGCGCACCAGCACTTGCAGGCTTTAGCGAGTCCGGTGATGTGGCAGGAATTGCTGACGGTTGCTCAGGTCACCGATTTGCTGCTGAGGAGGTAGGTGGCAACGGCGATGGACACGCACGTTGGACGAAGTCGCTAGAGGCCACCTTACGAGGTGGCCATTACTCAGTTTCAAGGCAGCTGGAGTTGGTGAATGCAGAGCAGATAAGGATCTCAGAGCCCACCGAACAAGTTGAGGCAGCTAGGACTGCTCGCGATAGGTTCCGAAACCGATCGATTGGCAATAGGCCGCACGGCTTGAGCTCACGTGGAGAAGGTGAAACGCATCCCAAAGGCCGAGGAAAAAAACCTGTCCCTACCTCGATCAGAGCCCTCTTACAAGCAGAAGGGAGGAGAGAAAGGAAAGGGGAAAGAAAAAGGCAAATGGGGAAAGAAACAAAAGGACGACCAATGAAGAGGGAGGCTGAGGCAGATGGGACGCGGGACGGGTTCAAAGCCAGTCGCGAAGTGGGCTGCCATGCAAACTGGGAGAGCTCCTTTCCCTCCTCTGTGCTGCTATGAAGATCATCTCCAGCAGAAAGATGGCGCGGCCAAGCCTGCGGATTGCTTACTCCTTCTCTCTGCTTGGGAGGGACCTCCGTCTTCCCTTTTTGAGGCCGGAATGTCCAGCGACCTTTTTCGCCCTCCAGGCACACCTCCAGGGTTATAGCCTCTGCCATTCTCCTGCTTCTCCTGTGCCTCTCGTTGACATTCGTTCAGCATCTCTTCAATTGCCCTTTCAATTTCTTTCTCTTCTTCCTCTGGCCTTTCCTCAACCCTTTGGCTACTCTCTGACACCTCCTCACATTTTCTTTCCTCTCTACATCCCTTTGCTCTGCCACACATCGTGGCAAATGACTTTGAAGAGCGCTTGCGCCAAAAAAGAAAGCTTGTGGAGTGATTTGAGTCCCGCACTATCACAGTCCCTGGAGGTGTTGACAGAGACCACGCGTTGCGGGCAGTCCACGGAGGGGCTTTTTCCTCTCCCACTTCCAGGGAGTTTAGGATGGTGTGAAGAGGAGGATCCTTTATTAGAGGGGCTCATCAGAGGGTTGAACAGTTTGTATGGGGTTGACTCATCCGGAGGAAAGAATATCTCAAAGGTCCAGAGGAGGATCCTGGAGCGGTTGAGGGGAGTGCTTAAGACCAGCGGCTTACCCCGTGCTGTTCTCCCCCCACTTACGCTTGGAGACTTTTTCACCACAAAAGGCGTCGATTATTCAGGCGAAGAGGTTCGCGTGGCAAGGTCATTCCAATGGAAGACGGTTGCAGCAGCTTTCCCAGAGGGTGTGGGTTCGCTGGACTTGTTGAGCTTGTGTGATGGAGGCACCCGGTCTTACGTTTTGGAGTTCGAGAAATTCCTCTTGCCGCCCCAGGATCAAAGCCTTGGAAAGACGCCGGCCACGATGGTCAGCCAAGAGCACTGGGCAGAGGTATGCCTGGGACTGGTCGATCGGGGGGTCTGTGGTCTCATGAGAAAGGAGGATCTTTATCATGTTAAAGGGCGTCCAGTTCTCAACGGGCTATTTGCTGTAGAGAAAGGTGAGAGAGCAGCGGATGAAGGAGGCGAGGAGTTCGAAGTATGTAGACTAGTCATGAACCTAGTGCCAACCAATGGACTATGCCGAAACTTAGTCGGAGACACCTCAACGTTACCTACGGTTACAGGGATGTCTGGAACAGTCTTGGGCGATGGGGAACTGCTTTTGACATCCTCAGAAGATATACGGTGTTTCTTTTATTTGTTCCGGACGCCTCCAGAGTGGCACCGGTTCATGGGGTTTGGAAGGGAGGTCCCCACAGAGGGCCTCCCAGCGGGCTATACAGGCAAAGGCTGGCACCTTGTCAGCAGAGTCTCGCCCATGGGGTTTATTAACTCCGTGGCAATCGCGCAGCGCGTCCACCGTCGAGTGATTCAACAAGCGCTAGGGGGCGAGCGAAAGCTGGCAGGAAAGCAGCAAGAAATCCGGCGGGATCGCCGCCAAAGCTCGTCATCCCATCAGTACAGGGTTTATCTCGATAACCATGATGAGTTGAACAAGGTGGACAAGCAGTTGGCAGAGACTCTAGCGGGAACACCATCGGCCTGGTCCTTGGCGGTGCGCGAGACATATCAACAGTTGGGGCTACCCCGGCATCCGAAGAAGGCAGTCACGCAGGAGGTTCGTGCCGAGGTCCAAGGGGCTTGGGTAGATGGAGAACTAGGTCGAGCAGCTCCGAAATTGGAAAAGGTAGCTAGGTATGTACGACTTGCGCTAGAAATCTGCGTGGCTGGCAAGGCTTCACAACGAGAGTTGCAAGTGGTTGGAGGAGGTTTTGTCCACATTGCAATGTTCCGCAGGCCGTTGTTGTCCGGATTGAATGCCGTGTGGAAACAAGTCACTGAGTTGGGCACAAAGGGTCCGTTGGCTCGGAGGACATTGCCGCAGGAAGTTGCGCTTGAGTTGCTTCGCTTTGTTGCCCTGAGTCCTTTGGCCTACATGGATTTCCGGGCAGCCACCTCAGAGCTAGTGACGGCCAGTGATGCTTCCACCGCGGGTGGGGGACTTTGCGTGAGTAGGGAACTTAGCCCTTTCGGTGTTTCTGCGTGTCAAGCTGAATGTCGCGGAGACGTCGTTGAGCCTGAAGAGATGGACCAGGTACTCGCGGTGTCGCTTTTTGATGGCATAGGCGCCCTCCGGGTCGCGTTGGATGCTTTGCGCGTGCCTGTTGGGGGTTATGCATCGGTAGAGATATCCCCAGAAGCCAATCGCGTGGTTGAGTCCTTTTTCCCTGATGTGGTGTGCGCGGGGGACGTGGCCAGCGTAATAAGTGAGGACGTTCTGGAGTGGAGGATGTGCTTTGCAAATGTTGGGCTTGTGTTGCTGGGTGCCGGACCGCCGTGCCAAGGTGTGTCCGGTTTGAACTCGGACCGGAAGGGAGCGTTGAGAGACGAACGGTCCTGCTTGTTCCAACATGTCCACAGGTTTCAAGCCCTACTCCCGGAACACTTCAAACGGTGCCCCGTGCACAGGCTTGTAGAGAACGTCGCCTCGATGGATGCCAATGATTGCCAGACTATGTCTGCGGCCTACGGCGCTATGCCTTGGAGCATTGACGCAGGCGGACTCAGCCTCGCACGTCGACCGCGTCTGTATTGGTGTAGTTGGGAGCCGTTGAGACTTGAAGGTGCTAAGGTCGTTGAGGGGAGGGAAGGTGCTCTCCCAACCAAAGGCAAGGTGGAGCTTTGAAGTGGCGGTGGA